CCCCAAAACCCCAAAACCCCAAAACCCCAAAACCCCAGAACGAATTTAAGCAATTGAATTATATAATAAGTTTGGAAGATTTTGTTTGGGAATGAAGGATTTAGGTGAAAAGGTGGGGTAGAGGTGAAGGGAGAGTGGAAAGGAGGGAGTATTTGAATTGGAGGCGTTTTTAGGATAGAAATGAGTATAAATATGCTGGGGTGGGGATTAGACATTGGCTTCGGCGACTGAGATGCTTTGTTCAGGGGTTTGGAGAGCTGGTGGAGGGTTTGTGCTTGGTTGGTTGATATGTAAGTGTCTATTTGTAAATTAGAACATAACTTATACAGATCTCTTCCAACTCTTCTGTCTGAGGATTCTATCTGATAAATAGATTGGTTCATCCTGGCCTCGCCTGGGTTATCAATATTCCTCAAGTTGTTCGAGTTCATTAAGTTCCTACTGACCAGCATGCTCGGTCTGTTCCTTCCATAATCTGTATTAGGTTAGGAAAATTCTTGAGGAAATGGAGAAGAGAAACATACCTGCATCAGAAATTTGAGCAGCAAGTTTCGATTCTTCATTTGCAGATTTTCCATCTTGATTTTCCTTGTTCTCTTCTAACTGGATTTCAGGATTTGAGACGAATTCAAAGCCTAGATTAGGTCAAATGAAGAATTACTGTCAAAGTTTTCGTCATCTACTTCTTCGAGATCGTTAATGACCACTACCATTTTATTTTGCATTTCCAAGATATCTTCAGCGTAAAGGTCTCTGATTTGGTTAGCATCAAGGTCTGGCCCACCATTGAATTTCTCAATCGCAGGTTCTAAAGCAGTTAGAGAGATAAGAAAGCCTTACTGTAGAGATTATTTAGATCCTTTCTACATGTTGGGCAAGTCATTTTAACTTTGAACCACTCTTTTAAGCAATCACCGTGAAAAATATGGACTTTGCCACAATCTAGTTCTCATGTCAGTTCTCCTTCTTCAAAATCAAGCTGACAGATTGTGCATAGAATTGAGGAGTCCTCAGGGCTTTCATTCTTTATTTTCTTCGATTTTTTCCCTTTCTTTTGAAGTAGACCTATTTGGTAATTAATAAAAATTACTTTTATTCACTAGATTTGCTTTCTTCTCAGATTTGATATTTGGAGAATCTGGATTTTTGGACCTTTCATCAATCTCAGAGCTTTCTTCTTTTGGCGGGTTGAGTTTCTTAGAGTGATCTAGGTTTAAGTCAGATTTGTCTCCTTTGCTTTCCTCAGCGATTTTTTCCCCTTCAAAGAACCATTTGTAGCGATCTTTCTTAAAATGTCTTCTTTTGTATTTATAGATGTACTGGAGAACGTGCTCCCAACTTCCGTTCCCGTTGATGATTCCTAAGAAATAATGCCTATCAATTCGGTCATTGTCTCTGTTTGGTCGCCATGCTAGGCATCGCGGACAGAAGAAGACACACAGGAATCAGAAGAAAATGGAAATAGTCATGAAAATCATTATTATAAGCATAATGACCACCTCAAGAGCCATGCATACCACTCAAATGTAGGTGCTGCTAATGACCAGAATTGTGAGAAGAACTATTGCTCCTTTGTCTTCGTTGTGGTCTCTATTTACTTTCCCAAGTAAATACATTCCAGTGAAGAGAGTATATCATAGAATTCAGGCAAAGAAGCTAAACCATAACACACAGATATTTTGAATGTTCTTCTTGTAGAGATGTCTGCATAGAATTAATTTCCAGATGTTTTTACGAACGGTCTTGCGGATTACCTTTCTGACACAGTTAGGATGATCTGTTACAGGCTTGGTCATCTGACATGTATATGCTCATATATGAACTATTATATCGTTGTCAGAGCCCATCATCCGTACAGAACCAATTCATCAGAGTACTTGCTGCAAATGTAAACAGAAACAACAGGGTTGAAGAATCAGAACGAAATTACTATGAGTGGATTCAGGTATTCTTGGAGTACAAGCTGAAGCTTTGAAATTAGATAATCTAAAACCATATTATTATAAAATTCAATAGAATTTAACCCCCATGGGGTTTTGGGGTTTTGGGGTTTTGGGGTTTTGGGG